ATGGACTTGAACTTGATAAATACTTTGAACACTTCACTTTTCTTCTTGATCAGGTAAGTCCATAGCTTTCGACTGAAATCATCTATGAATGTAACAAAGTATTTGTTACCTCCCATCGAATCCACCTGAATTGGTCCACATACATCAGAGTATATGACTTCGAGACTAGCCTTCGATCTGCTTCCTGCATCCTTGCTGAAGTTGTTCTTGTGTTGCTTTGCCTGCACACATTCTTCACATACTTCGTTTGGAATGTCAATTTCAGGCAATCCTGAAACCATATTTCTTCTCTTCAAATCTCTGATGTCTCTGAAGTTGAGATGATCAAGTCTATAATGCCATATCCATTCATCTCTGCTAGCTGCAGTCGAAAGGCACTTGTGCTCCATCACATTTAGTTTAATCTTGAAGGTTCGATTCTGAGACATATGAGCCTTCAAGATTACTCTCCCATTTGCATCAACAACTCTCATCAACTTATCTTCAATTGATACTTTATAATTCTTTTCGACCAACTACCCTATACTGAGCAAATTTCTCTTCATGCCTGGTATGTATAATACATTCGAAATTACTGACTTCTTGCCATCTTTCCTCATGATCATAACATCACCAATACCTTCTGCTGCTAGGGTGTTGTCATTTGCAAATTTTACCATATTCTTCGTTGAGGGTTTTATATTGACGAACCAGTCTTTCCTTCCAGACATATGTGATGAACATCCTGAATCCAAGTACCATTGGTCCTTGAATCTGTCTTCATCTCTTGTTGTGACCATCAGCATCATCTCTTCTTCTTCTTCATGTTTTGCAAGCCTTGCATCAGTTTCTTGATTCTTTCGTTTTTCTGGACAATCACTCGAATAGTGACCATACTTCTGACAATTGTAACATTGAATGTGACTTTTATCAGGTTTTCGACCACCACCTCTTCCTCTGTTTGCAGCACCACCTCTTTGGTTGCCGTGGTGTGGTCTTCTTTGATTCGACACGTCTCCTTCGATTTGGTTTCCTCTACCATTCGATTTGTTGTAGCCACCTCTACTTCTGTCGAAATACTTTCCTTTGCCTTTGGTTTCTTTTGCTGAATGTGCCTGCAAGGCTACATCTCTCTTCGATTTTCCTACAGCTCTTTCGTTCATTCTTTGTTCATGAGATTCGAGCGTCCCTTGAAGCTCTTCCTTTGTCAATTTCGACAAGTCTTTCCCTTCTTCTATCGCCACCACTATGTGGTCGAACTTAGGGGCTAAGGATCTCAGGATCTTCGAAACAACAGCTCTTGTTGTTAATGTTTCTCCACATGTTTTGATTTGATTAACTAGTTTTGTAACTCTAGTGAAAAAATCAGATATGTTTTCACTGTCTTCCATCTGAAGCAGTTCATAGGTTCTTTTGTGAGTTTGTAACCTCACTTCTTTCACCTTCTCAGCGCCTCCAAAAGATTTCTCCAGGATCTCCCAAGCTTCTTTTGCAGATTCTGAATCACCAATCTTTTCGAAATTGTCTGGGCTGACACATTGATGAATTATAAACAATGCTTTATAACTCTGCTTCTCAGATTCTGTATATTTCTTCTTTTCTTCTTCTGAAGCGTTTTCGCCAAGCGCTTCGACTCCATCTTTTACAAGGTCCCAAAGGCCTTGACACCTTAGTAGGACTTTCATCTGCTTGCACCAATTCTCATAGTTGTCAACTTTCAGAATTGGCAGCGTTGCTGGATAGTTTGCATTCCCATAACTTGTCATCGTGAATTCTTCAATCGTTCTTGATTGACACTTCCCTTGAATCGTAACACAAGCTCTTGATACCAGATGTTGGAAATCCACCAATACACTATGATGAATTTCGACCACCACTTGATGATAAGTTATGAAACAAACAAATAAAAGAACAATGGAGATATTTCTGCAGAATTTCTATTCTGCCCACAAACTGTGGAAACTTTATTAATTCACTTTGCAACTGCAAAATACTGTGAATGAGTTCAATGACTTGAATACAAAAATAAGGGTTGCTCCCTCTTATTTATAGATTTAGGTTAGCTTGCTCCCTAAGCTAAACCCAAGCCCAAAATATCTCTTTACTAAATCAAATCTAATCTAGATTTAAATTCAAATCTATTTAAATCTAAACAAATCAAATCTTCTTTTGACACCTATGAATTACAATTTAACAATAACTACTGATAAATAAGTTAATAATTTATAAGTTATAATTAATAAAAATAATTAATAGTTTAAAACTGATAACTAATAACAAATTAGATAATAATTAATAATTAATAATTTAATTGAAATAACATTGAAATGTTTCAATAGCTAATGAATATAAAATAATATAGAAATACATTTTTTAATTAATAATTTAGTGATTATATTATCGTTTATATATTATTATTATTAAATATAATTTAATTTAAAAATTAAATGTTAATTATATAATACATACGTACATACATACGTACATATACATAGAACGAAAGAAGTTATAGTAAAAAATTCATAATTTTTTAGATATGAAATGTGACTTTTTATATTCATGTATTTAAAACATATTTATTTTATTTTAAATTATAATAAATTGTAAAAGATAAAAATAAATTTTAATTAAAATAATAAAAATAAAAATAAAATAGAAATTAAATAACAAATTAAAAGATATAAATTTAAAAGCTAGCTTTTGAAAAAAAAGTCTTTTTAAAAAACAGTTATCAATTAGATTTTTTTTAATTGTGAATTAAAAAGTTAAAATATATATTTTTGTCTCACTAAAAAGACTCGTAGTCAATACATCAATATTAATAGTAATAATTTAAAAAATATATATATTTTAAGATAACATGTGGTATAAATTAGTATAATCTATTAGTTTAATGTTCAATTTCTTACACATCATTTATTTATTTATATTTATACATGAATATAGAAATTCAAACTGTAATAATTTTTCTGGGAAGGAACATCTCAAAGAACGAAAAGCAAAGCAATTGTACCAACACTAAGGTACTGGCCCAACAGCGTGCAACAAACCGCCCCAAAAAAAAGCATCTAAATATGAATTGGGTTAAAATCCAATAAGATATAATAAAAAAATAATTTATAAATTTATTCATATAAAATATATTTTAAAATTAAAAATGATAAAAGATAAGTAAAAATTAATTTAATATTAAATTAAAAAATATTAATAAATAATTTTTTGAAAAATATGTATGATTTTAAGAATAATTTTTTAATTTTATATAATCTAAAAAATTAAAATCTCATATATAATATGATAAGTCTTATCACGTCTATATCATATCCTATCTTTATCTATATCCATTGCAATTAGGAAAAGAGAGATGGTGAAATTCCTTCAGAAACACTTCATACGTGAACAAGCTTTTGATATTAGGGGTGTTCAAAACCAAATCAACCCAATAGAAAATCACAAATTAAATCAAACTAAATCGAAATTGTAAAAAACTGTATTTGATTCAGATGTGTTTGGGTCATCTTTTAATAAAATCGCACAGTTTGGTTCGGTTTCGATTTGTGATTTGTATTTTGTAAACCGAACCACACCGAAACAAACCGCATTATGTTACAACATAAATTTTACTTAACTCACATCCAATCCAAACTTAAACCTATTATACCTTAATCTTATGATTACGAATAATATTTTCATCCTCACACATATGGTTTCAGTCCCGATCTTCTCAAATCTCTCATAACCTTATCGCGTTTTCTTCGTCACATACATCTTGTCTCTTCTTCTCTAATCTCTGCTCTATTATATTCTTTCTTTTTCACCTTCTCATTTTTATGCAAATGTTCCATATTACAATTTTGTTTTTGTCACACATCTTCTCTAATCTCTTATGTTCTTTCTTTTTCATCTTTCCTAATCTCTCATCTTTTTTTTTTCTTTTCATTATAATATTTTTGATATTGTTTTATGCTATTATTTTATGTTGATTATTCCACTTTTGCCTAATATAAAATTTACTTATTAAATAGAAATTGTTGTCAAAATATGATGAGTTTTGTTGTTATTTGATAGTGTACGAATGATTAAATACAAAGTTATGTTATCATATATATGTGTATGTATGGTTCAATAAAATATTTGTAAGAAATCAAACAAATCGAATTAAACTAAATCGCATTCGTTTGATTTGATCTGGTTCAATTTTTTTTTAAAAATCAACCGAACCAAATCAAATCACACATTTTTTCTCTTACAATTTAAATGATTTTTATCGTCAAAACCACACAAATCACACCGCAGCTGACACTCTTATTTAACGTATCCTAAATCCTAAAATCTCCAATAACACATACAAGTAAAATATTTATAAATCAACGACTTTAAACAAAAATTATCTTTCTCTTTAATTTATATATAGTATTTTTTAGGTCAACACTCTAGTGCCATAGAATTTGATTTGTGCACCTACCCATCCTCTAATCATCAAATTTTATATTATTTTTATAATAATAATTTTAAAATAAATTAAAATTTTACCTAAAATATTTGTACCCATTATTTTTTAATTATGTAATATGAAAATTTTAAATGAGAAATTTATTGTGAGAAAGAATGTGCTACTTCATTAAAAACTTTAGTAGTTGTTTGGCAGCATCATTAATTGTAGTTGTCCACTACCACCAAAAATAGCCACAAAGCAATCTATTCAATCTACCTAAATGACCACATCATTAATGCGATGTGCTTCTACAATTCATTCCCTTAAACAAAGAACCATGTTAGAACTAAGTACAAAAAGAAACTATAGTATGTATCAAAAACAAACAAAGAATAGCTTTTGAATTATTATAGTAGTAAAATCTGTTTTGAGGAGCTAAAATCCTCTGTATTAATCTACACAACAATCTCATAATGTATACAAAAATATATGAGCAACAAAGAATATCAAATCTAATTTTACAGAAAAAAAATACAAAACTCTACCTCAATAATCTTCAACTTCAGATAATCTCTTCTAACAGAAGCTATCTTGCACACAATGCATTCAGAAGAACATGAGCTAACATAAGGTCCACAAAATACTGATGACCAATTTGACCATCTCTCCACTTCAACTTCGCCGGAGCCCTTCCATAATGAACTCCATCGTTACATCGGTTATCAAAATGCCACGGAAACGTCATATCAAAGTTGTCAATCACACCGGATACAACGCCCGCTTGCTTCAATTTATCTAAGAAAACAGCGTTGAACACATCCATTTTGTTAGGATTGAATGCTAGTGATCTCGCATATCCACCTGTTGCGACAGTAGTCCGGTAAAAGACTCTAGGCAATGCCAATCCCCTTTCCTTCACTCTCTCCAGAACGCCCTTCCAAAAGGTTGCTGCGTAGGATGCTCCAACCGAGAATGCTCTTATACTACTAAAGTGGACACCATCGTGCAAGCCGGAGTTTATGATCACGGTGTCGGGGATTGTTTCTTCCGAGAAGTATTTCTTCAACAAATTTTGAAACCCTTCGTTTCTTAGAGAATCCACCCCTAGATAGTTTTGTGTTTCGTTCCAATGGCCGTTGAAGATACTCGTAATCCTAACGGTTTGAGACGGGTCTATTGGGTTTGAAAAGTTCATGTCGAATCTTCTCGGGACAGAATGTACATCAGGCAACTCCAATATAAAGTTGAGCATATTACGTATCGTGTCAACATGATTCGAATCGCCCCAGAAGAAAATCCATCGATTCTTCAAGCAATTCCAAGCAGACTCAGCTGAATACATCTTGAACGAGCAATGCGCCGAGTAAACCCAACCATTACTCTCCAGAACTCCCAACGAACCGTCACACCAAGGAGCTTTACAAGGAAAATCAGACGCTAGGCATCGGTATCTACCATCATCACCAACAAAGCACTCATCATTCTTCCCGTGCCTTGTCCACCTTCCACACCAAACATCCCTCCCAAAATCAGCAGCCTTACAAGTCTGCAGCTCCGGTATCAAAACATCGCTCTTAAAGAACCTTATTCCAATATTACGAACCATTCGATTGAAAACAAATTTCCACGGAGTCAATTTCAAACCTTCAAAATGTCTATAAAGCAAGAAAACAGTAAGATTATAAACCCCAACAAAATCAGGATGAACTTGCAACAAAATCGAGTAAGACCCATTACTAAAATCCTTCACCAAAGGCCTAGATTTCCACGACTCCCCCGAAAGATCAGTCTCGAAATAATCACCGCCTAAACAACGAGGCTTCCCCGAATCATCCAATGCTTGAAAAACAAACTCATGTATATCACCAGCTGATAAATCTATGAAACCCCCACCATCCAACCCAGGAATAGAAATATCAACTGTCATAGAATCCTTACAAGGCTCACCACCCCTTTCTAACCATCTAGCTAAAAGATTTGAAGTCAAATTAACCTCTAATTCACTCGAAACCCAACTAGCATACCTTTTAACAAAATCAAATCTTTTTGGGGTTTCATCAAGTTTTTCAGACAAAGCAACATCAACAGAAACATGGGTTTCAATGGTTTGGTTCTGATCTAAACTAACAGAAAACATCTCTTGATTAGAAGCATTTGAACGAGAAAGATAATGTTGATGACTAAACCTTATACCTTGAAAAACATTCTTAACAGTGCATCCATCAAACTCCCAAACAATGAACAATCCAAATAGAACAAAAATAGTAAGTAACCCAACTCGCCAATGAACAAGCACTTGCATCACAAAGTTCCAAATAATTGTTTGAAACACAATAAACTTTGATGTTTTCTATGAAACAAACAACAATGGTGGTGATAGCTCAAAACAAGAGGACAGAAAAAAAGGGTAAGTTGCAGAGAAAAAGGAAGAAGAAGGTCTTTTACATTTGACTAAAAAAAAAAAGCAACTTACCCAAAAACAAGTTATGAACCTCAAAGATTATTTTTATTGTTGTGGTTGATAAGAAAGTTGCAAGAGAACCTCATTAAATTATTAGCATTGGTGGAGTTGCGCAAAATTCTGACAGCTTGTGATTATCTATCTCTATTTTACGGTAGTAGTATAAATTACTAGAATAAAACATGTTTTTCTATTCTTTATTACATAAAGAATAAATAAATCGATTGGTAAAAAGAATGAATCTAGTGTTGGGTTTTTTTTTTTATATAAATTTAAAAAAGACTTTCTAGTTTTTTTTTTATAAATATTTGTTTATAAATTGGTTGAGCAATTAATTAAATATCATATTTAAGGATCAAAATCCATATGGCATTTCTTGTGAGTTTGGTTTCTTCTCTAAGTATATTTTGTATGAATCATTTAGCATTTACTTAGGGTGTGTTTAGAATTTATTCTCTATATACAAATGAAATTTTATTATATAAAATTAATTTTTAAAATCACATATTAATTTAAACATTAAAAGTTAGGTTTATTATTTTTCATTTAAAAAAAATTAATATCATTTTTTTCATTTAATATAAAAATTATTATTTATATTTGATATATAGTTTTAAAATTTTAGATTACATAACAAATTTTGATTGATACACCTTATAAATGACAAATTACTCTTAAATTTATAAGGAATAACTAAAAATTTACTTGTGTATATGTATGAGTAATATAAAATTTAAGTATGTGTTTAAATTTTAAATAAGTGATTTAATTATAAAATAAATAATAATTATATATTTAATTGTATTAATTATCTACCTATTAAAATTAAATACTACTAAATTATCAATAATATTTTTCATTTAAATTTTTTTACATTTATAAAAGATTAAAATAGTAAAAATTTAATCTTTTAAATAATTCACTCTTCTTCAACCAAATGTTATCAAATGTCAAATTCTTATTTGACTTTTTTTTCTTCAATATTTACTTTTTTCTCCACTTCTAACTCTTTCACTCATCATCTCATTCTTCTTTTAAATTCAATTTATTTTTTTATATATTTTTTCTCTTTTTATTTTATTATTTTATTTTTTCTACTTAATTATTTTATTTTTTACTAATTATTTTAATATATTGAAATATATAATTATAGTATATGATTATCATATTATATATTTATTGGTATATAAATATAGACAATATTGGCATTTATTTTTGTTTTTAATGCAAATTTAATCAGTTTTATTTTTATTTATTATCATTAAAAAGTTAGTTAATCTATATTTTAATAAAATAAAAATTTATTTTATGAAATTAAATAATATTAAATAGCCATACACACAATTAACTTTTCATCTCACGAATAACTATTAGAAAAATATATATTTTATTTTAATTAATAATTTTTATTATTTGAGATATAAATTTTTTATTTTTAAAATATCAATTTTGTTCTCACATGTCATTACCAATAAAATACCTATTTTCTTTTAATTAGAAATTGTTTTTATTTGAGACACGAAATTATTATTTATAAATGTTAAAATTTCTTTTTTTTTTCACGGATCACTATCAGCAAAATACTTATTTTATTTTAAATTAAAATCATCTTTATTTAAAACATAAATTCTTATTTTTCAAATGTTAAAATTTCTCTTTTTTTTTACGGGTCATTATCAACAAAATATCTATTTTATTTTAATTAAAAGATATTTTTATTAACTGTTAATTTTAAATTTACATATATATCTAAATCAAATCTATATCGTATTAAATAAATTTACCCGTATAAATACACGGATATTTTACTAGTTAAATAATCATATAAAAAGAAGAAGAAAATACTCATAGAGAAAAAAAATTGATATTTGAAAATAAAGATATTATCTTTTCAATCAAGATAAATTATTGATTAAAATAAAAGATATTCTCCTAATAGTGATTCATGATATGAAAAAATTAGTTGATAATATATAAAATATATTTTTAGATAATAAAATTTGAAATGAGTTATTTAATTTTAAAATGAATCATCATCATGTAATTTCAATTGTATTAAATAATTATATAAAAAAAGAAGAAAAAAATTCGTGAAATGAAAAAAGAAAAAATTAATATTTAAAAATGAAGACTTTATCTTTCAAATCAAGATAAATTATTGATTAAAATAAATACATATTGTGCTTATAGTGATTCGTGAACTAAAATAAATTATTAATTTTATTAAAATTTTAAAAAAATTATTAATATTTTTAGTATAATAAATAAATAAAATTGACTAAATATATCATAAAAACAAAAAATTCCAAACTAATATTTATATAAGTGTAAATTTAGTAATATATAATTAAAAATAGTTTTTGCATTAAAATTTTAATAAAAAACTTAAAGGATAATTTGATTTTTTTTAATATTAGCATATTTATTTGTTAATCATTCTGCTAACAAAATGTGAGAAAAAAAGAAATAAAATTGAGAGAGAGAAATTAAAATAAAAATGAAAAAATATGGGGAAAAATATAAAAGAATTTTAAAATTTTAATTAAGAAAAGAAAATAAATATATGTAATATCTAATTATAAGTGAAAGTTGAAAAATAAGTCTTACATGTCAACATTAGAAAGAGCTGGCTTTTAATTAAATTAGTTCATTTGTTAAATAATAATTGGTTCTTTTTGTGGTGTAAATGGTTTGAATAGTTAGGGTAAAATAATAAATGTGGTCGTATTTGATTTTTGATTTTCTTAGTTATATAGTTGATATGATAATGATTGCTAAATGTTTGGAATGAATGTGTTTCGAGAATGATAAAGATGTAAGATTTATGTAATTGTGTTGCTTTAACTCACATGTTTTGCTGTCATCAAAAAGCTCATATGTTTTTGTTACCAAAAAAAAAGCTCATATGTTTTACAATTTATGTGTAAAAATAACAATTGGTTAATAATTAAGAATATTACTATACGAGGAATCATCAAAAATACTAATACTTAATTAGAATCATCTATAATATTTAGACATTTTTTTGTTGATACGACGGGTAAGTCGATATATATATTTTTTTATTTCTCATTAGCGTTCATTTCATCTATAATGCGGATAATGTTTAGGCGGTTTTTCTTTTATCTCATTATTATGAAAAAAAAGTTGTAAAATTATATTACAACGACTTCTATGTTAATCGCGCTAATAATTTATTTTTGGGTGTTTTTTGTATTTACTAAAAGATATTTCACTACGATAATAGTTAAAAAGCATAATGAAATATACTATGAGTTATATGGTTCGAATCGTAGCTTTAATAATTTTCTATTTTATCATCACAAAATGTAATTGTTTTTGTATATCATCACAGTTCTTTTAGTCAACCGTGGTGTAAAGTTCAATCATTTCATTACGGTTCGTCTTATCAATTGTGGTGAAAGGTGATATTTATTTATATATAAGCAATGTTATCTCTCGCTTAGTCCATAACAGTCGTTTCTCTCAAAAGAAAATCCTAACATATTTCACTCTTCTCTTTTAATAAAACGCTAACATATATGCCACTCATTTCGCATACGACAACCTACAGGTTCGTCTTCACCAAACTAATACGATGATTTCCTCTTCTTCAAACCTATGGCTACCTTCAGGTTCGTATTCACTAAACTTATACAACGATTTTTATGCTTCAAACTTTTTTTATCTATTATTGTTTAGTTTTTATTTCTGCTTATTGTTTATGTTTCAAACCTTAATATATAATGTTTAAATCTTATCTATAATTGTTTTTGTTTCAAATCCTAACATATAATGTTTGACTTATGTGTGTTTATGTTTCTGTTTGTTATTATTTGTAGGTATGGATGAATGTGTGAATGCAAAAAATTAACGAGGGTGAAGGTAAAATGAGAGCAGCAAACTTGTGTGAGCGCTACAAACACATGTTTGATGCTGTCACTTCAGCTTCATCCTTTTTTCCAATGTTTTAAAATCCAGACCGGTGATCGACTCGGTAAAGTTACTGGGTCACTGGGTTACTGGTCGGACCAGTGGGTCACTGGTCAGACCGCATGGCTTTTGACCCGGTTTCTATAAAAAATATATTCATTACCTGAAATTTGTAACTATAATAATATAGAAAATTATAAATTCAAATAATTTAGAATAAATAAAAGTATTAGTAACAATCAAAATAAGTGATAGAAACTTAATGTAGTAAATTATAAATTCAAAGAAGTGATAGAAACTTAATAATTCATAAGTTATAGTATTATAATAAGTCACAAAAATTCATAGTCAACGATCCATAATTTTTTATGTCCATGAAGTCAAATTGTCATAATCTTGATATTCATATCCATCTTCAACTTCATTGTCTTCTCCACCAACTTCATCTTCTCTAGTGTTTCTTTTTTCTTGATTCACAGTATCAACAATAGTATTTTGTGCATTACCCATGTCTCCATCTTCATCCTCATCTAAATCTATTTGATCTATAACAATATTTTAAAAAATAATTAACAAAAAAATTTAGAGATAGTAAATATGAGACATTAAATTGATTCACAACCACAAACTATATTATGCTCATATTAGAATATACCAATATCAATTGAAATTGGTTGGATGATCATATTTGCAAGGTCATTCTGCAATGCTTCCAACTCTTCATTGGTTAAGAGAGGTGGTGAATCCTCTAATACCCAACTAGAATGATCGACAATTGTTTCAATATTGATAGGATCATAACTCCCATTTCTTATTTTCTTAAGCACACATGAATTAAATCTAAGTATATTTATTTAAATATAAAAATATAATGATCAGAGAAAAATAACCATAATAATACCTATTTT